CTGCCTTCTTCTGCGTCTATCCTCCACCTTTCCAAATGAAAGTTTAAACTAAAAAATTGTCATTCAGGATTTCAATTGAAAATGAAATTTCAAACTTCAGAATATGATTTCAGCTTCAGATAAATGTGTGGAGTGCCATTAAAACAAGTGTTGAAATTAAGTTTAATGTTCTGTACCTGTTTAGCTATATTTACTCAAACTTTGGAGTAGCGAAGAATATATTTTATCCTGAATGAGCTTTACAAATTACACAAAGCCAACCAGATATTGAACTGAAGAAAAACTGAAAGTTACTTTTTCTATGCAGTTTCATTTGACTTTTTCTCATTTATGTACCGTACTGAAAACAACAGATTGGACTGCAAAATTTTTTGGTTGTATTTTATGTCTGTTTTATCGCAACATGCTGTGAAGGTGATGTGGCTGCAGCCTATTTTTGATTCACATCAGTTAAACAGGAGAAGAATCAGGCCCATGTAGCCCTGCAAGGATTGCAGAGATATATGGTTTCCTGGCATTGATCACAACTGCTGGATGATGGCTCCCCTCAGAGGCTGTATAGGAAGCATGCGCCAGCCCAGCAGGTCTCCTTGCTACTTGATGTCAGGAGGAAAGAGGTTGTGCATTGTATGCAAGTTACTGCAAATTCCATCCTAAATGCAAGTGAGTTTGTCAGTTTAGTTATTTTCTTTTGTGGGAAATGACTGTAGGTAATGAATACAATATGTTACTATTAATGATGGAATTATGCATAAGAAATTAAAAATGAAAATGTGGTATCCAGGATTAAGATTAATTTTACAAAATATATTGGGCTTTTAGGTTGCAGTAGAAGCATGCAAAATAGAAGCTTACTTGAATATTTTCTAATATTTCAGCTTCACAAAAATAAAATGAAGACAAAATAAGGAATAAAATATTTTTATTAATTTTTCAAGCTAGAGATGTGAATGTTTGTCCAAACAGATGTTTAGAATGACTCTGTGCCAGGCTCAGTTGTGTTTTTGAGAATGCTCTTTCTCAGTAGTCTCTCACAGAGTCCCATATGTCCTTCAAAGCTTACAAGCAAATTTTCTTGCCTCAAAGCCGTTAATTTAGGATAACATAACACCATGAACTCTGTCCTATACTTCTTTGAGGGATTCTATTAAGAAACATGAAAATTACTCCTTCCAATATTATTTCCTGCCACTTTTATGAGTTGCATAAAAATGTCATTAAACTGACATTAAAAAATATCCTAAAAGTTTTCTTTAAAATTATCCACAGTTTGACCATCAGATCATAGTGGAATGCATTGGCTTGACTTGTTTATTAAACAAGATAATAGAATAAAAGGATAATTTAATACATTGAACATATTTTTGTGGTCTACTCATTCTTCAGATTTCTCCAATATGAGAAATGGAGAATATCAAATGAAACTAGCATGTGACAGATTCAAAAATAGCCAGGAGTAAACAGTTCTTCACAAATGAGGAGAAAAAACTCCAAGTCAGAATTTTCTAAGATGACCACCATCAACAAAGGAAAAGTCTGGAAGCTATAACTGGTGTAAAAACTAGGAAAACATCAGCTTACTGATCAGCAGCAGATGAAGTAGCAAATAAAAATATAGGAATTATTAGTTAAGGAAAAACAATAAAGAAAGAGAAGCACAGAGCTCTGTCCCAGTGTAGACCCATGCTGCATCATGAATCCTATGTGCAGGTGAGTCCCTTGTCTCCAAAATGGATACAGCACAGTGGGAGAGGTATGGAAAGGGGCAGCAGTATCAACAGGATGTGCAGCAGCTGCCATACATGGAGCCAACAAGTACATGGGGCTCTTGTGACTGGAAAGAACCCAGCTGGGCAAAAATATGACAACAATTTATAAAATCATGAGTAGAAAAAAATTTTAAAAAGTTCAAAGAGAGATGATTGGTCATCTTCTCTCCAAACACAGGAAGTATAGATCATGAATGAAACCTAATGGATGGCAAATCTAAAGCAAGCAGTGGCAGATAGGTCTTCCCTGAACACATCACTAAGGTGTGGAACCGCCTGCCTACTGTGTAAATCTTAAGTGAGATAAACAGGAGACTGGAGAAATTAATGGCTGTTAAATGTGTGGATTTCATGTCTAGCTCAGCAAAACCTTTAGTGAGAAAGTGCAGAAGGCAGGGAGTATCATATTTTAAAAGTTCATTATTCTGTTGATAAAGGACAAGTCCAACTACACTTCTGCTCTCTAAAGGAATTTCATAATCCTCAACAGAAAAAAACCTCACAGAAAGGTATTTTATAGTCTTTTAGAGATTATGAAATGGCAAGCATCACCTGGAACACATAAAACCAAGATTAAGAGTAATTTCTTTTCTCTCAGTCTTTGCATGGGCAGTTCTGAAACAATTTTGCACAGATGCGTTTTTCTCTCACACTGTTATAAACCTGGTCAGTAATAATTCTGCATTTGTTTTTAAAATGGATGAATAAGAAAAAGAATTACTGGGACACTCTGGTTTTCAAAGTTTTGCTGCATCCCTCTTTTCCACTGAAAGGTAAACCCGTCACTGTAGTTGTGTCCTGGTTCTGTCCAGGACAAGGTTAAGTTTTTGCAGTTGCCAGGAAAAGAATGGCCAGGATATGGATTATTCTATAGCACCTCACATCATTTTTCAGGAATAAGGAAGGGTTCGCTTCTGAGTCAAGATGTTGGGGTCTGCTGTCATAGGAGTTGTTACTGTTCTTTTTCTTATTTCATTGTCATTTCTAGTAAATTGTTTTTATTTCAACCTGTGCTCTTTAACTTTTGTGCTTCCAATTCTCCTCTCCAGCCACTGGCATGGGGGAGGAGAGGGAAGTGAATGAGCCTGAGTAGTTTCAGTGGGAACACTAAATTGGAGAATACGTTTCCTAAATTATATGTTGTCAGGTTATAGTGGATGGAAAGGGGACAGCAAATCTTATTCAGTAGGTAGGTCTGAACATAAACAAATAAATAAGATGTGCACAGTCCTAGCTAAAAAAAGAACAAGTAAAAATTCTGTTTTATCCCAAACACTCAGGAAAGGTTGCTTTTTTTCCCCCAAATGTAAGTAATAAAATGTTTGAAAATTGATTTGTTCATCTTCTGTCATCCTAACAGTACACTAATTAATTTCCTGGCCATAGAACCTGAAATAGCATATCATTAATTAATGCACTACAAATTTTAAGAGCAAAATTCAATACAACAGAACAATATTTCACATTTCTTCATACCCCCTTGTTAAACACAATTTGAAATTGAAAGACTAAACAAATGAAGAGGCTCTTCTCTTTAATAATGTATATTATGCTAATTAAAAATAAGATCTGAGATGTCAGATGTTCTTTATGTGCTCTCCACGAAGAAAACAAAACTGTTGTTTTTGTAGGCCAGTGAATTTCTCTAGTTAGAAAAGCAAACACCCAAATTGCAGCATAATATTAGGCCAGACATTCAACTGAGACTATTACTGCTAGAATATATGTAACAACTGCTAAATGGTTTGGATGCTTTAAATGTCAGAATAATGAACACAGGATTATCTCCAATAATCAAGATACCTCTGTGGAGTATGAGTTCAAGAAGGATGTATAGTAATTCCTGAAAATCAGAATCCTCTACTGTATTTCAAACAATGGGCTATTAAGCCAGAGCTCTGAAAATCACCTCTCCTTTCAAAAGCCTATGTTTTGAGTACATTAAAAATACACAGAAGTTCCCAATGCAACAATGCATCTCAATGATAGAGTGATAAAACCTCACTCTCCAGGCGTGAAATATTGTTCACGAGTTCATGAATTAGTGCCACATGATCTTCTGTCATTTAGAGATCTATCCAGTACAAAGATAATTAAGACTATTATCCAGCAAATATTCTGACAGCATCATTTTCTCATCACTTTCTGTCACTTCTCAGTACATGACTAGATTAGCCTCTATCTTTGTATAATTCAGAACACAGAACCTATATGAGAAAAAAAACATCTACCTGAGCAATTTTGCTTTATATCATATTAATTATGTTATGTTACGTTACGTTACGTTATGTTATGTTATGTTATGTTATGTTTTGTTATGTTATACGTTATGTTATATGTTATGTTATGTTATGCTATGCTATGCTATGTTATGTTGTGTTACTGTATTCCCACATCTGAAAAAGCCAGTACATACTAGGGAGCAAGGGGAGAACCTGGAATACAAATGAAGGCCATACTCTTTCAAAAGCATCTCCATGTTACTGACTGCTCCAAAGACATCACCCTCACTGTGAGCATGGAGGCAACGTACAGTGCTGGCCACACAATTTATGTGGCTTTGTGTAAACAGTTCTTACAAACCTCAGAGATATTCTGTCTCACCAGGAGACAATCTATCTCACTGCTACCAGTATGTTACAGCTGACACTTCTTCTTAATATCATATGGAAGAAGTGTGTGTGAATATATATGTAAACACACACACACACACACACACACACACACACACACACACATATATATATATATATATATATATACACACTTTATATGTGATGGGAGGGGTGCCATTTCTTCCCAGAAGTCAAGGGATGGAGAAATCCAGTACTGCTTCTTCTCTCCACTAAATGTTCTCACATGGCTGTTGTTGAATATGGCCATTACTGGCCTGAGAAGTAATGGCTTCATGTACCACATTGTAAAAATAGAAATTAGTCAGTTTTCCAATTCAGCTGGCAGTTTTTGTTTTTAATATTTTTATTACTGCAGACATCATCGTCCAGCCATCTGCTAAAGATGAGACAGACAATAACTGAGCAGAACTGGAATGAATTTTGCTGTATCTGCAGCTGGGCATTTCATTACTTTATTCTGATGGGGAACTGATGAGGGGAGGTATTTTGTTCTTTTTTTAGAGGCAATCAAAATGTGATACACAGGAATATTTAAGTGTGAAAAAAGATTCTGTTTTTTACAGGAAGACTGGAAGACCTGGAAGACCATACTGACCTTTGTTTACCACTCTGCCATCACTGTTGTGACAGAAACAGCAAGTCCATCTCAGTTCCTCCTTCTGTCATTCCTGAGGCTCTTCTGATAACTGAATTATCAACATTTTTGCAAAACAGAGAGAGGTGTTAGGCTAATCTGCCCCAGATGCTGCAGCTCTCTTGTATCTTGCTCTAGCTCTTCATGCTTTCTTTCCCCCTACTCCAGAGTTACCCTCCAAAGGAAATACATGACAGTCTTCCACTGCAGAAATTGGTAGTCAGTAGGCTCTTCCTTCATTAAAACTAAAATTACGCCAGAATAGATAATTAGGTTGAGTAGCTTTGGCCAGCTACAGGCCATATTGCTTATCAAAAGGGTAGAGCACTCACAGAGGTAAGTGTGCTTTACTATGCATCAAAAATCTCTAGGAAAGCCTCTTTTTTATAAAGTTTGGCAAAAGCCAAATAAAATAGTGCCTATTAGGCTTAATATTAAGTCAAATGTGGTGGATAGGGTGTGCCCTGAAAGCACAGCAGCAGCTTTCTGCACAAAAGAGTGTGCAGAAGTGATACCTTGAAGTCCTACAGCAGCTTTTATATTAGATGTTTCTGGGATATGGTGGTCTATAGCCAGAACTATTCCTACACAGTTTTCCTGTTGATCTGTAGCCTGTCATTACAAATACAGTCCCTTCTGTTTGTTCCTTGTATGGGATAGTTAAGTAACTGGAAAACTCACTGGATGAAAAGACGCTTATAAAACCAGTATTTGCCACTTGTGTAGAATTACAAAGAAATGCAAGATTTACCTGTATCTTCTTGCAAATCTCAGCATGAAAGCTCTGTAGAATAAAAGAATGGAGAAAACACAGCTAGAAGTAGGACATAAATGAGTCCTGATCCACTGCCCATTGATGTCAGTGGAAAGACTTGCACTGACTTCACCAGATGAGGCCTGTTGTGAAGGTCTGAAAAAAGCTAACGATATCTTTATGCAAGATATTTTCAAAACAAAATTGGGATGCCTTTTTTTTTTTAATCAATAGGTTTTATAATGTGCCATCACTTCACAGAATATCCATGTCTGTAAGAAATTGTAGCAAGGAAAAGCAGACAACAGAAAATCTTTTTAATTAGCCTTCAATTAGTCAGAAATTTATCTATGTCAAGAAAGAATACACAGAGGAAAATATGCAGTAACACATTACAGCTGTTCATTTTGGAAGACACAAATAAAATAATTTAATGTAATTGTTTTTGTCTTACATTTTTACTTCCTCCCTCCTACCATATTTCTCTTTGAGAAACCTCTCAGCACAGTTAAATTGGAACACTATACAGGAATTCTTGCTCCTTTTTATTATTTTACCATATGAGGGTTCAGGCACGTTGTCAGGTCATTTGACCTCCTTAAGTGCATTGGCAGAACTCTGATATTCAGAGCCAAGAAATTTTCCTTGTTTCCTTTTGTAAAAGTTGTTTAAATTCAATGATAATTTGTATTTATTACAGAAAGTGTATCCTTAATTAACTGAAGAAAGATTTTTTTTTTCCTAGGCATCTCTTACATTTTAGCTGATGAATCAAATGATGAGAGAGATGGAAGCCAACTTTCAAGTTGTTATTTTGTCTTATTAATAAGAGGAATGGGAGTGATGGAGCAAGAGGTGATCAATACACACAGAAAAGATCAGACACTTTTGCAAAAATATCCATGTTAATTGAATAAGTTATGAGAGCAAGCTTTAAAATAAAGCTTTTATGGTGAAAAGTGATATATGGGATCTTGATTTAGAAATTATTCTGCCTACTGTAATGACTAAAAAAAACCCAAACCAAAATTAATGGGGATGACTGTTCCAAACTGAAGTGCATACAAACAGACCCAAGAATGTGCATTTTCTGTAGTAACTATTCACACCAGAGGAAGGTTGTATCAAATTGGTGCATATAAACCTAAAGAGAGGTGCCCTTTTATTACAGGAAATGTACTTCCAGGAACAGGATGTTATTAAATGTAAATTAGTATCAATTGATTACCCAGATAATTCTTCAAGCCCATATACTTTTTCCAATAACACTTTTTAAAAACTTTAGGGACAAAAATCAAGAATAGAAGACATATTGCAAATACAAAATAAAAGCATTTTTACAAATCCTATCAAGAGTAAACGTATTTAGAAGTTAGTTTTACATAAAGTATTTACAACCACTGAAGCAGTCAACATTTTTTATTTGCCTGTAAGCTCAAGATCTCTGAGCTTATTTTTTTCTCAGAGTTATGAGGGCTTTTTTTCCCCTTGGAAATTTTGGGTACATTTTCAAAAGTAGTTATGCTATTTAGTGGTTTTCAGCATCTAAAGTTCTGCATTTATGGTAGAAATCTTAGCAAATTGAAAGTGGAAAATCATTCAATTTGCACATTCTGGAGCTCCATTAGAATAGCCTACCTCAAAGCACCAGTCTGACAAAGCACTTGAATCTGTTCTGAATTTCTCTCTCAGCCATAATCTTCTCCATTTCATCAAGGCATTCACATACTTTAAATCAAGAACTAGTTTTAAAACTTTGCTGAAACAGAGCTGAAAATTTGCTTTACCCATCCAAAGTACCAGAGCAATTCAAGTTTTCTCTCCCTTTAACTGTAGGCCCTGCGCACTTTGCAGCCCTTGTGAGTTGCTGTTCTTACACATTGCTCCAACCTTCTGCAATGCACCATGTACAGACAGATAGCATCTACCAACACTCCTCAGAGTGCATTAACACTTCAAAAGAATAGCAGTTTTCCAAATCCAATATCTATTGCACATCCAACTTTTGAAAATAAATAAATCACTAAAAGAATCTTCACATAACTTATTTGAATGCATGAATGTGAAGTCAAAACAAGATTTTAAACTAGATATGCAATTTTATTAGTAAGGCAAGCAAATTAGCCAGATCAGGGTAGAAGTTGAGGAACTCAGGAGGGAAGGAGAACATCTGTCCAACTCAGGTGGGAGCACTACTCTTTTCCAGAGGTTAATATGTTTCAAGACAACCTCAGAAATGACCAGCCTACTTTACAGAAATGAATTGACATCCTCATATCCAGATCAAATCTCATGTCTTAGGAAATGTTTCATTTTTGTACCACTCAATACTTCACCTCTTCAGTTACTATCAGTGAACTATGACAAGTTTTGTTCACTACATGAGGCTATGGACCTTATTTAAGTAGCATCATCTTTACCATAAGTTAAGTCTAGACCACAGAAATTTTTAAAACCATTGAAAGGAAATATAGTCACATTTCTGAGCATGTACCCAAGTCAGAGCTTGCATACTCAGATTCTGAGAAACAGTCTCTAACTCCTCTAAGACTCAGAGTGTTACAGTTCTGTTCCCCATAGATCCAGATACTATTTTTGTTGCTAGTATTTTAATTCATTTCCAGTTGTAGAAATTTCCTTAGCAAATTTTTAAGCTGCTAATACAGATACATATGTAATATCACATATATCAGAGACTGCAAGTAATCAGCTGTACAATTTAATTTTTTTAATATGTAGTTGAAGCACATTTATGACAATAATCCTTTCACAGGCATGGTGTCCTGTTATACATGGCTGACTGGGATTGAAATTCTCAATACAGGTCCTTCCACCACACTGAAATTCATGCTAGATAAATTATATGCAATCAAAAGTTAAGTGAGGATGTGTCATAAAATGGTATCTGAAGTATCTTTTGTATTTACTAAAAAGGTTGTTTAGGTAATTATTGTTACTTAGATATTTATTTATTAAGTTCATGTCCCCTAGGAATTACTTCCTAGTCTAGATCCTGTCTAGAATTTCTTTCAGATAATTGACCATTTTCTTTCTAGTTATCCAAATATGGCCTTGTCTAATGTCCTGTTTCCTCAACAGCGTTGTTGGAAAATATGCACAGGCATCAACCCTCTTTTCCAAAATACTATGCTAATTCTTTTTTTAATTATATATAGCACCTGTTGTACTCTGCTAGAACATGTACTATCACTGTTCTTCTTTTGGAGGACATTTTTATTTGGAGTGAGACTCTCAGATGCAGAGGGATAGGAATATGTGGTGAGACTGCATGGATCAAGCCATCTGTGTCTCCTATGAGACAGACATATGAGCAGGCAAGTAGCCCTTTGGAATTCATAAGAAAACAGAAAACAATTTTAAAATCTAAGGAGGAAACCATAAGTTTAGTAGGGAGGTTAAATTATACACAAGCTTGCAATATGTGTACCTCGAGGACTGGAAGAGGAACAAACTTCATAATGAATAAATGTATCAGCATACAAAAGCATTTTCACAGCCAATGCATCCTTAATCCTCTTCTGTGATTGGAGTAGCAATAGAGGGACCCTCCTTTCTCACTTTGACCTTATTATAGCCCATTACTAGAAATATTTTGAAGACTTATACCTATTTTAAAAATAATACTCAGTTCCCCATTGAGTAGCACCAATTACAACAGTAGGTAATGGTTGAACTGACAAATATCCAGAGATATAAAGGCCATGCAAAAACACTGACAGGGACAGGAAGCCTGGTACAGAAAACTTGAGCATTATGGTACAGAAACAATGAGTGTGGTATTCCACAAGGAAAAAAATGGGCCACAATTTACTATATGTGGCACTTGGATCATTTCATTGGGCTTTTCACTAAGGTAAAGAACTGGTGTGTTTCACTGGAAAAAGCTGAGAAGACATCCAAGCACTGAGAGATAAAGCAGGAGGTTCACAACTACTCCTGTAAGAAAATGATAGGCAACAATCCAGAAGCTCTCTAGGCTGGAATCACACGCCTAGTCAAAGGAAGATAAGGCCTGGGTAAAGGAAGTAGATTAAAAATATAAACATTCTGAAGAATTGTCCCTCTATTTCTTCTCTGGAGAACTAATATTTCCTGATCAAACTGCCATTTCTCAACTTAGTGAAGACCAGAAAGGGACCTAGAAAGTCTGAACATGAAGAGATAAATCTTTAAAAGTGACAAAGGAAATCTGATGCTGTATCATATAAAATAATTCTAAACATTCAAGTGTCCTCCATTTCTAAACATGCAAGAGTCGCTCCCCTTTGAAGGGACTCTTCAAAGAACAAATTGAAGATAGAGTCCTTGGCACAGCTCCCAGAATAGCACATGTGCTCCCTCTGGTAGGATTTAAGGCGTCTGAGTATCATTTATGGAAATCAGTTTTTCACATAATCGAAATCTTCAATTATTGCAAATGTGCTCCTTACAGTTAAATAAATTTAAAAAAATAAAAACCTTCTTTGGTTCAATATTATATCACAACATCCTTGTATATCTGAAAGTCACATACTGCAAGCAGCTTTGTGTCTGAGTTTCAGAAAGAAGTTGAAATAATGGAAAATACCTAGAGGTAGAAAAGTATAGTGTGTTTTCTAACAGTTACAGGGAAAGAAATCTGTGAACTAGGATTCTTTGGTTTTATTTGTGATTTTATCAGAGGCTGGCTTAAGACATCCACCTTAGGTGTTTCAACAGCTGAAAGATGCTTGGCCACAGCAAGATGAGTCACAGTGCCAGTTAGGAACCTTTCTCCTCAGTCATTCAGCAAAGAGATTTTTTTGAGGGTATGTGTATTGCCAAGCTCCTAAAACAGTCAATGGAGACTGATAGACTACTTTTAACAATGAGTCAGAGCAAAAGTATCAGAGAGTTATTCCTGTAATTGCACTCTGAAGGAGCCAATCTCTGACTGTCCACTACAGAAAAAGTGCCTAAAAAGTATCACTGAGTTTCTTGGCATCAGCTCAGTCCCAGGGTAACTGATCCCTCCATGTTTCATGTGAAAGC